TTAGGTTTTATATATACCATGTGGTGTTAGATACAATACTCACTAGGTTACAGTAATAACATGTCCTTCTGTTGTCCTGTAGTTTTAGGTTTTATATATACCATGTGGTGTTAGATACAATACTCACTAGACAACAATATGTCCTTCTGTTGTCCTGTGGTTTTAGGTTTTATATATACCATGTGGTGTTAGATACAATACTCACTGGGTAACGGGTACATTGTTTTGTCGGATTCAAATTAAACGTACTTCAGATTTTTTGATTCTCTTTATTTCAGAGGTCCTTTTGAATCACGTTCTTAAAGGAACATACTATAGAACAGCATTGAATGATGGGCTAACATTGACATCAGTAGGTGGCGCTCCGCTGACCTTCAGTGATCGTAGAGGTAAGAATTTCCACAATATTTCATTTAAAGGTTATTTTTATGTATACATATATGAATATATTATTGGGAATGCTAAAATTCTCATGTGACTTTGCTCTAAAAGAAACAAATTTATAATATTCTAATCTTGACACTCAAGAGTCCCATGAATATACGTGAACGTTTATACAAATTAAACATTTATAGTAAGAAAGTAGCAACAACTTTAGGCTTAACCTTTGATAGGATATTTGAATAAGTAAAATTAACATTGGTTTGTAGTAAATGTCTAATTAAATTCAAGACTATTAATCTTTTTTTTCTTTTTGTATTGTTTGCCAGGTCTCTTGTTGGTCAATGGAATACCGGTGGTTGAGCCCAATTTCATGGTTTTAAATGGTGTCATCCATGTCATTAATCGTGTTTTATTACCAAAGCAAGTTCTCAAGGATTGCCAATGTCTTCCAGAAGTAACTCAACAGTTAGACAATCCTCCACCAGGGGTAACAGGAGGATTCCAAACCTCCTTCCCTGTCAGACAACCTAGTTTACCTCTCCGAGGTTCCTCTCCACCAGGACTAGTGACTGGAGGTGGTGCTCCTCCTCCAACAGGAAACACGATCTTTCAAATTATTGAAATGCCTGGTCTCAATGTCCAAGGACAGCCAGTTGGTCTTACCATATTTTATGATTTACTTCTACAGTCTGGTGTAGATCTCCTCAAACAACCAGGTACAATAATATTATTATTTAAATTCTATGTATGAACATTTAGAAACATTGTAAATTTGGTTATAGTTTGTAGTCGTTAAACGTAGTAACTAACAATATGATTAACTAATGATTGTAATGGTTTAACTTAGTAACCAACAATACGGTAAAACGCGGTTGTATTTTTTGTAGTCGTTAAACGTAGTAAACAACATTACGGTAAAACGCTGGTTGTATTTTTGGTAGTCGTTAAACGTAGTAAACAACAATACGGTAAAACAATGGTTGTATTTTGTAGACGTTAAACGTAGTAACCAACAATACGGTAAAACAATGGTTGTATTTTGTAGACGTTAAACGTAGTAAGCAACAATACGGTAAAACAATGGTTGTATTTTGTAGACGTTAAACGTAGTAACCTACAATACGGTAAAACAATGGTTGTATTTTGTAGACGTTAAACGTAGTAACCAACATTAAGGTAAAACAATAGATCCAGGTTTGGTTGAATATAAAACAAAGTGTTCAGAAGAAAATAGAAATGAATATTGTCATAATGCTAGAGTTCTAAAATACCTGTCCACCATTGAGAACACTAACGAACAGTCGAAGACCGCTGTTTGTTTCTATCACCATGTTGTTCTGGAGATCTTGCGGGTTGAGAGAAAGGCTGATAATATGGTTTAGAAGTACACGTCTCAGTAACTGAGGGTTATTCTTTAGTTCATTCAGAACTCCAGCCGGAAGATTAGAAAAGGCGTCGTCAGTAGGGACAAGCACTGTGAAGGGACCTGTCAGAAAATACAATTATTAAGTGTTGTGTATCATACAGTGAGTGTCATGTGTTGTGTATCATACAGTGAGTGTCATGAGTTATGTGTTAGAGAGTGGGTATCATGTGTTATGTATCAGACAGTGAGTGTCATGTGTTGTTTATCAGAAAGTTAGTGTCATGTGTTGTGTGTTAGACAGTGACTATCATGTGTTGTGTATCACACAGTGAGTGTCATGTGTTGTGTGTTAGACAGTGAGTGCCATGTGTTGTATATCATATAGTGAGTGTCTTGTGTTGTGTATCATACAGTTAGTGTCATGTGTTGTGTATCATACAGTGAGTGTCATGTGTTGTGTGTTAGACAGTTAGTGTCATGTGTTGTGTATCATACAGTGAGTGGCATGTGTTGTGTATAATACAGTTAGTGGCATGTGTTATGTATCAGACAGTGAGTGTCATGTGTTGTTTATCAGAAAGTGAGTGTCATGTGTTGTGTGTTAGACAGTGAGTGTCATGTGTTGTGTGTTAGACAGTTAGTGTTATGTGTTGTGTATCATACAGTGAGTGTCATGTTTTAATTAAGGTACTACAATCTTGTCTCAGAATATAAATTCACTAGTTGTTTGTTTTTTCACTTAGTCCAGAAATGTTGATACTGTTACATTTTTAAAGGTGTCAATGGTCTGAAAGTATGTCAGTAACTTGAACATATTAAATCTTGTGGTTACAATTCAGTTGAATAAGGTTAAAAACTGGATCAAATTCCAAAAACAAGAGATTTAGAAACAGGGTTATTGTGTGTTAGACAGTGAGTGTCATGTGTTGTGTATCATACAGTGAGTGTCATGTGTTATGTATCACACAGTAAGTGTCATGTGTTGTGTGTTAGACAGTGAGTGTCATGTGTTGTGTGTTAGACAGTTAGTTTATTAACACATGACACTCACTGTATGATACACAACACATGACACTCACTGTATGCCGCACAATACATGACACTCACTGTATGATACACAACACATGACACTCACTGTCTAACACACAACACATGACACTCACTGTATGATACACAACACATGACACTCACTGTATGCCGCACAATACATGACACTCACTGTATGATATACAACACATGACACTTTCACTGTGGGAGTTGTATCTCAATCTGTAGATCGTGTTTAAACTTTCACTGTGGGAGTTGTGTCTCAATATGTAGATCATGTTAAAACTTTCACTGTGGGAGTTCTGTCTCAATATGTAGATCGTGTTTAAACTTTCACTGTGGGAGTTGTGTCTCAATATGTAGATCGTGTTCAAACTGTCACTGTGGTAGTTGTGTCTCAATCTTTAGATCATGTTAAAACTTTCACTGTGGGAGTTGTGTCTCAATCTGTAGATC